ATCTGGTACCAGTATATGGACAGAACGATGTTATCTTCTATAGCTTATACCTGTACATTGTACCAATATATGGACAGAACGATGATGTCTACTACAGCTTTAACTGTACATTGTACCTATATATGGACAGAACGATGATGTCTACTACAGCTTTAACTGTACATTGTACCAATATATGGACAGAACGATGATGTCTACTACAGCTTTAACTGTACATTGTACCAATATATGGACAGAACGATGATGTCTACTACAGCTTTAACTGTACATTGTACCAATATATGGACAGAACGATGATGTCTACTACAGCTTTAACTGTACATTGTACCAATATATGGACAGAACGATGATGTCTACTACAGCTTTAACTGTACATTGTACCAATATATGGACAGAACGATGATGTCTACTACAGCTTTAACTGTACATTGTACCAATATATGGACAGAACGATGATGTCTACTACAGCTTTAACTGTACATTGTACCAATATATGGACAGAACGATGATGTCTACTACAGCTTTAACTGTACATTGTACCAATATATGGACAGAACGATGATGTCTACTACAGCTTTAACTGTACATTGTACCAATATATGGACAGAACGATGATGTCTACTACAGCTTTAACTGTACATTGTACCAATATATGGACAGAACGATGATGTCTACTACAGCTTTAACTGTACATTGTACCAATATATGGACAGAACGATGATGTCTACTACAGCTTTAACTGTACATTGTACCAATATATGGACAGAACGATGATGTCTACTACAGCTTTAACTGTACATTGTACCAATATATGGACAGAACGATGATGTCTACTACAGCTTTAACTGTACATTGTACCAATATATGGACAGAACGATGATGTCTACTACAGCTTTAACTGTACATTGTACCAATATATGGACAGAACGATGATGTCTACTACAGCTTTAACTGTACATTGTACCAATATATGGACAGAACGATGATGTCTACTACAGCTTTAACTGTACATTGTACCAATATATGGACAGAACGATGATGTCTACTACAGCTTTAACTGTACATTGTACCAATATATGGACAGAACGATGATGTCTACTACAGCTTTAACTGTACATTGTACCAATATATGGACAGAACGATGATGTCTACTACAGCTTTAACTGTACATTGTACCAATATATGGACAGAACGATGATGTCTACTACAGCTTTAACTGTACATTGTACCAATATATGGACAGAACGATGATGTCTACTACAGCTTTAACTGTACATTGTACCAATATATGGACAGAACGATGATGTCTACTACAGCTTTAACTGTACATTGTACCAATATATGGACAGAACGATGATGTCTACTACAGCTTTAACTGTACATTGTACCAATATATGGACAGAACGATGATGTCTACTACAGCTTTAACTGTACATTGTACCAATATATGGACAGAACGATGATGTCTACTACAGCTTTAACTGTACATTGTACCAATATATGGACAGAACGATGATGTCTACTACAGCTTTAACTGTACATTGTACCAATATATGGACAGAACGATGATGTCTACTACAGCTTTAACTGTACATTGTACCAATATATGGACAGAACGATGATGTCTACTACAGCTTTAACTGTACATTGTACCAATATATGGACAGAACGATGATGTCTACTACAGCTTTAACTGTACATTGTACCAATATATGGACAGAACGATGATGTCTACTACAGCTTTAACTGTACATTGTACCAATATATGGACAGAACGATGATGTCTACTACAGCTTTAACTGTACATTGTACCAATATATAGACAGAACGATGATGTCTACTACAGCTTTAACTGTACATTGTACCAATATATAGACAGAACGATGATGTCTACTACAGCTTTATCTGTACATTGTACCTATATATAGACAGAACGATGATGTCTACTATAAATGCACAAAAGTAAAGAGATTGAATCTGTGTTAATGCATCAGTAGATAGACAGATAGATAGAATGACTTGTATAATCAGGATATAGAGTGATTGTGGAAGCCTGCCTCTAGTTGATGTCCGTACCAGTAGTAGCTAGCTAGGTTAATTAAATGTTTGCTTGTCATGTCATGACTCGATAATGTAACTGTATGTGCTTAAAAAAAACTTGACACTACCTGTATACATAAATAACTACACTTGTATGTAATTGTATTGGTAAACTGAACTGGTCCACATATAAAACACAACAACAATAGACTGGTGTTGATCAGATCTGGGAAGTTTAATCAAACCTAGCCACTGTATGCCTGTCCCCAAGACAATGGCCCACCACTCTATTGTTACTCCGCTTCAAAGTCCGGCCAGTGTATTTCATTTGCTGACAAAATTTAAAGTTAGGTGAGCTTCAAATGTTTTTAATGAACAGTTTTGTATGCAGGGAAACTTTACTCAAAACTTTAATCAAAAGAACGTGATAACAGTTGTGAATTATTGAAATACATAATTTAGCTTTAGTGTCTCTTGGTAGACTAGCTGGAAAGAATAAACGTCCACTTTGTGAACCCAGACCACAAATAGCCACAGAAACCATGCTAACCAAACTTGTATAATCCCTGGAGAGGAGGGTCCCCAGCACTGACCACTCCGGTCCTATTATGTGACCTTGCACCTTACGGCTACCCCAACCATTCATGTGAGACACTGTACAAACCTGGTCTTATTGTTCGAGCATGACCAGTGAATGGATTGGTAAATGTGTGCCTTTTAGACCAACCATTTTCCTACTGTATACAACAAACTGGCTAGTCTGCTCAGGCAAAACCTTTATTAGTTTGAATTCTGGATCGGGTAACTCCCCTCAAATCTAGATGTGATTGATCTTATACTTCAGTCAATTTCATCACAAATAAAAACAACAAAAAGTATTGATCAACTTAAATTTCCTGCTGTTAGCCTGACTATAGACTATATTGTATAATATACTGTATACATTACTTGTAAGTCCAATCAGACAAAACCTATATTGGTTTTAATTCTGTATCTGCTAACCCCTTAATCAATTTGTGATTGATCTCAAACAGAGCTATTTTTTGCACACACACAAATACAAGAAGCATTGATTGGCATTAATTGTATACTGATAGGCATTTCATTTGACTCACGATTAAGAATCACTTATTTTACAAAAATGACAAGTTTAAATAAATATATATTCTATTATAAAAGTCCTCTGTGGAATGACTTGATGTTTAAAACTTGGATAGGCAGGCACACGTTCATTGAACGCTTTGTACAGGAACAGTTTTGGAGTGTTTGAAAACCGGTTATGTAAAACACTGTGCCAGGAACATGTGTACATATAGCAAACAATTTCATATTGTTGACTTAATCATATTTGACAGTCCACTCAAACATTTGAACAAGATACGAACCTGATGTCAACTGGGTACTTTATTATGTTAGAAAATTAAATGCCAGAAAATATTAAAATGCAATGCTGCTTGTCAGGTAGAAGACTGGTACATGTGTACACCATCAACGCAGAAACTCAATATCTTGTGTCTGATTGGTTGATATGATTGAATAATACACCAATTATAAATAATGTTGAAAAGAGTAATTAGAATACATGTGTTGAGTTCTTGACATATTTATATATACACAGGCCATTGCTATGTTTTATTTCTGGCCTTGAATGATTCAGACATGATAAGTGGTTAAGTAGATCTGTCTAAAAGGAATTATCAAACGGTAGGTTGACATTGACAACTGATAGTGATCCTTCAACACGTCGTGCTGAAACCCCATTACAGGTAGACATTTCACTGTTGTATGTCACATGACAGTGTGTATTTCCCAATCTTGTGCACCTGTGTACCTCTGATGTTCAGGTAATCTCAATGTAGAGATGTTAAATGGGAATGTAAAAAGCAGAGGTAACTGTTTGATTCAAGATCTAGATCAACCCACACATGTAATACCATTCAGCGACTTAAACTACAGTGCTACTTTTATCAACAAAGTGCATGATGAGGTGTTTTATTTACAAAACAAATTTCTCCAAGCTGTATTATTATGGTAAAGATGATTTTATAGAACCAATAAAACAATATGGATACATGATCACCACATAACATAAACAGGGCCACAGGACCAGGGCCACAGGACATAAACAGGGCCACATGTCTTCTCCACTAGTACTGTAGGATAAGTTATGGACCAAATACATTTATATATTTTTCCTCAATTAAATGGCCCAGATTGAGTAAATATCCACACGTGACAGTGGAGAAACTTCCAGCACCTCATGCTAAATTAGTTGTAAATGTAAACACCAGTTCTACTGTTATTCTGTTACCCTTGAATACATTGGACAGAAGTATTTTATGCTCATAACAGTTAGTGAAAGAGGCATATAATGTGTGCTTTACTATTAGTCTGTCCGTACATACATGTACAACGCCTTAGTAAGACCTTGTGCTCAATAGTTGATACATAGTGAGGAGAACTACACTAATATTTAAACATTTATATAAGTCAGTGTGTCGACATATTTTGACTTCACTGACTTTGATCACATGTATTGTGTTTAGCTCCTTTTTTTGTTAAGATTTTGTATTAAGTTCCATTTATATCAAAGTGGAAGTTGGGGGCATATGAATGTTTTACAAATATGTTTTAGTCGTACAGTGATTTGTTGACAAAATATTTGATATTAAGGTGTTGGAAGAGGTTTGTTGAGACTATTGGAAACTTGCCAGTAGCTAGGCGGTCATTCTGACAGTCCATTTGTTTATGACATCAAAACAAAAAGAGTGGCTGTAGATAATTGGTAGATAATTGGTCGATAAGCATGGAATGTTTGTCAACTATTAATTTGTACTTTGTAGCTGTTAGCTGATATGGATGTAATTTATTTGTACATGGAAATATTCGTTGACATTGATACAGACAATCAGTTTAATTTGAAGATGAAAGCATTTTATACATCTTTTTGTACATTCCAGCAAATGTTGCGTCGCCTCCAGACCACCCAGTCAACACGAGGGATGTCACGAGACGAACAGCTGACTGACTACAAACGTACTGTCCTGTATGGGGTTCCTGTTGCAGCCGTCCAACCATACGAAGGCTCCATGGGTCAGCGCACACGCAGCCTCACAAGTGTCTTCAGCAGTACCACAGGCTCAACCATGCACAGCAAGAGGTCCAGACCTTGCAGTGCCAAGTCCACAACCAGCACCCTCCGTCCAGGCAGTGCAAAGTCCATCAATAGTTTACGGCCTGGCAGTGCAAAATCAGTGCGTTCTATGTGCAGCAGTAACCGTTTGGGTAGTGCTAAATCTGTAGTTAATCGTCCTGTCTGGAACGACCGCTTTTCTTATGCCTAAAGTATGGCTGAATAGCCAATATCATCATTGCCTGTCTGTGTTGCACACCCCATAGTCCTTATCCCTGGTGCATTACGGAACTTAGTCATGTAGTGGTAGCTAAGTATTTATATGGTAACAATGGTAAATGTGTGTACTTAGTGATCCTATAGGAACCTGGTATACCGGTTGTATCAGTGCAACAAGCATGTACGTTTCCATGCCAGGAATTGAATGTCACAATTCTGGCAGCCACTCAGCAATTCCTGTCAGGTTATTGACTAAAGGTAGGCCCAGGCCTCCAGGTAGAAATCAAGGTAATTACCAAGGTCAAACCTTGGTTTCTCAGTAAAGAAATATCAACAAGAAATATTCCTTTGGTCACACCAAATCATGTTGCTGGCCAGTGTCTTGACACTGGAGTGGTAGATTTTTGTTTTCTGGATTAGATCCTTGAAGGAATCAATTGTTGATGTTTTCGGTTCAAAAGTTCACCAGAAATTTCCTAGCACAAAACCCAAGTGGCCTTTACTTTGAATAAAAGAGAAATACCTGTTGCTTGTTGTAATTTATTGTATGTACTTCAATATTCATTTGAGTGATCGTGTGGCATTACTTACATTGTGAGTTCTGAGTCTCGTTTGAATGTTGTTAGTGGCAGCTGGGTGTGATTGGGTGTATGAGTGTTGTATATTGTATCTTACATGATGTACACAGTGAAACTTTGTTGTAATGTTTTCAAACTTTGTTGCTGGTGCAAAAAGTGTAAGAAGTAAGATATATGTAAAAATGTTTACCATTGAGCAAATGTTTATACACAGCAAATATTTTTATAATAAACATGTACAGTAATTTGTAAATTTGAAACAAATTAGTTTAAATTTACTCTGGATATATCTGAAATAATACTAAGCAGGATCTTTATGTGTATATATATATAGAAATAGTTTAAGTGTCATGTTACATGTAGAGTTGAATGTGTTTTGACGGTTACTATATCATATGTACCTGTTTCTCCAGAAACATTTGGTGTCTTGTGATTATGTACTTGGAGAATATATTTTGATATTTTTGCTCCTACACTGAGCCTACAGATGTTTACATTGCTCCTACACTGAGCCTACAGATGTTTACATTGCTCCTACACTGAGCCTACATATGTTTACATTGCTCCTACACTGAGCCTACATATGTTTATATTGCTCCTACACTGAACCTACAGATGTTTACATTGCTCCTACACTGAGCCTACAGATGTTTACATTACTCACCCTTGAATACATATGTGTTGAATTCTCATACATACCCTGTTATCACTCTTACCTCCATTCTCTACTTTACTGACAATTATTTTCAAAATGCAAATTACTTTTATTTTGGTATAAGAACTCGATGAATTTCAGTTATTTATCTTAAAGACTTGCTCAAGACTGTATGTGATATGATTTTGTTATCATTACTTATGTTATGCTTTACTTTTAGAGTATTCAATGATGAAGATTCTTTGTACATATATATCAAAATACTGCTATACAGTTTGTGCTTCACAGTGTCAACTTTCTGAGTATGCATATATGGTGATTTTAAATAGGATGTATTTGTCATAGTCAGCTTTCAACCCATTAAGGACAGATCTGTCTCCATCATGAAATATTTCTCACCATCAGCGGTCCTGTTACGGACAAATCATCATAGCAATACTTTTGTTGTACATAATAATTTACTAAGTCCTTGTGTTACTGTTTACATATCTCTTTACATAAGTCGTAGCATTTCTATTGATAGGTGTTTGATCCTGTATTCAACTGTAATTAATATTAAGGACAATTTTGTAATAATGTACTCTGTGATAGCTTTGTACATCACAGTGACCTGTCAGAGATTGTGATATTTTTTTTTACATCACAGTGACCTGTCAGAGATTGTGATAACTTTGTACATCACAGTAACCTGTCAGAGGTTGTGATAACTTTGTACATCACAGTGACCTGTCAGAGGTTGTGACAACTTTGTACATCACAGTGACCTGTCAGAGATTGTGATAACTTTGTTATTCACAGTGACCTGTCAGAGATTGTTATGACTTTGTACATCACAGTGACCTGTCAGAGGTTAGTATTGGTAGATAACATTCACTTGTGTTTATTTTGTCTGTTTATGCTGTAGTTATAATTTCTGTAGATTTCTAACCTACCAAACATTGAATTTAGTATTGAAATACACTTTACTGGTGGAATTTTTATTTGTCAAATTTGGAGATGTTGTCTTTATTGTAACTTAATACACAATTTCTGCATCCCTGTTCTTCTATGGCTATCACAAGCTACAAGGTAATTGTATCTCACAGCAACGGTTGTTCATTTCGATAAACCATACAAAACCATAAGATATTCATATCACTCAATCATACTAAACCCATATACTTTTTTGTTCTTTTAAGATTATACATTCGTTGGCAGGCTTGATAGAAATTAAGGCATTTTAACCTTCAGCTTTATTTCCTACCCATGATAATTATTAAGTCTGCTATCTTTCAGTAGAACCAGGCTCATTGTATGAAGGAAAGAAGCCTGCAGGTTTATAGAACTTCTTGCCTATCATAACTTGGACATTTACTTAGAATTCAATAAAAGTGGATTTCCTACAGAACATTGTCTTGTGTTGTTCTTACAATGTACATCATTTTTGGACATCCACTGACGATGAAAAAAGGAGCAGACATTCTACATAAAAGGATGTCATCGAGACCAAGATTCTTCACATACCCAGACGTCATTTGCGCAGAATTAAAATAAGAAAGAAACATCATCTGCTACTTATTTGTGATAGGCAGAACTGAAAATGCCAATGTTGGAAGACACACCTGGGAGCTGGATCCTCCTCGTTTCATGCAGGTATAACAGACTAATGAAAGTATAAAAGGGGCTCATGATCTCAAACAAAGGAAGCTAAGGACAGAACTTTAATGGATTCCATGAAATAGAAAGAAATCTGTTCTTGATAAAGAAAGATTTATTGTACATAATGCAACCATTTGATATCTAGTGGACCAGCCTAGGTAAGACTTGCAACTTACAAAACTAGTTGGCGCCCGGTGTTGGTATGTACAATGTACGGGAAAGAACAAATCTTGGTCATCCAACTCGATTGGCCGTCTCCTATGCGCCTCACAAACGGGCGTTCAGTCAGTGTATTCCTACAATAATGAATAATCCCATCATTAAACTTCTGGATGTGACAAGTCCATTGTCATCTGTAACACTTCATGATGTTTGTGACAGTCAATTCTCATTATCCTGTTCAGTTTTTTGTCACTTTACATTCAGCCAAAGCGTCTAGCTCTGTATCAAGAAAGGCGTACAACATACAAGGACCTGAGAATGTGTAACGGCTATTTAAGGGTGTAGATCAACTCTCGGTATTGTATTTACCACCAATGGGGGTGGCATTTTTACCGAAACTTGAAACCTGTTATAATTTTCTGAACACCTTAGTTTAGGTCCAATTATAACTGTAGCAATTCTCAGGTCCCTTTGCTTTGACCATACAAGCCAGTGGCGTAGCATACATTTATTAATTTCTTTTTTAATGATTAATATGGACCGTCTGTATCAGTGGCAAAAAGGAACGAATAAAAACAAATCTTATTGAAAACTCTTAGTCTGATACAAACGTTAGAATTCTAAATCAAAATCTAGTTAATGAAGTACAGAATTTAATATTATTCTTATCAAAAGTCGTATTTTACTTGTTAATAATTAGACAAAAAGGATTTCCAAGAATACGAGAGATTGGTTCTAGGGCTTAGTAGAATTCTGTTATTGTTTTCAAGCTTAGGAGGGGGAACTCCCTCTCCCATACACTCCCCTTTCTCCGGCGCTAGGCGCCTCGGACGCTCGACCTCCTGTATGCATACACTTCGAAAAATGATTTGCTACGCCACTGCAAGAGTACAGAAAACAACACTCTGTCATATTGGTTTCATTCCTTGCCGACTATTGACATCTTTGAAACAAGGCATATGAAGCTCTCCAACATCTCGAAGTCATAATTGTAGTTTTATATTGATTGAACGATGCTATGACATTGGTTTGCCTCGTTTTGATGACACGTCCTGTCTAGCGACAAAGCTCTGGAAGTAACAGGTCTTTGAGCATCCTCGATAACCAGGGGTATGTTACGCTCACTTCTTTTGCTCTCTGCACCCCTGGAATATGTCATAGCAAAAACAAAGGCTCACCCTCTTGTGGATGAGAAGAGAAGGCTAGTTTTGTCCTTTTTGATGTACATCAAAAGAATCCTGCGGTCGCGTAACGGTATACCTTATTGGCTTTGAAGTCAGCCTAGTGAAAGGTCAGGGTTTTTTACCTGTCACCAATCAAATAGCTAGCCGCTATGTTATCCCATCCTCGATATCCAGGGGTTACGCTCACTTTCGCTCTCTGCACCCCTGGAATATGTCATAGCAAAATTGAAGGCACGGAGATCGCTGTTTGATTGGTCTCAGGTAAAATATACTGACCAATCGCTAGGCTGATACCTGTCCTTTGAAGATTACAATGGTGAGACGCCCGACTTCAAAGCCTGTCAATTTGTACCGTTACGTGAGCGAGAGATTCTTTTGATGTACATCAAAGGATGGAACTAGTCTTCTTGTCTCATCAACAAGGTGGCACACACTGAGCCTTCAATTTTGCTATGACATATTCCAGGGATGCAGAGAGCGAATGTGAGCGTAACCCCTGGATATCGAGGATGTGGATATCCAGAATGGTTAGCAAACCAAAATGGCACGTACCTTGAATTCATCGCCTGCTAAAAACAAAACAATATTTGTAACATGTGGTCTTGAGAGCTGGGCAAGCTAACCGGCTATCATAACTTATAATTTCTGTATTATGATAGAAAATACAACGAGTGACACAAAAGAAGTCCTGATAGGTCAATTTTATGTAAACAGTAGCGCATATTTACACTTCGAAAATATGTCACGTAAATATTATGACTACTGGGGTATTGCAATAATACCAGTGTCAATGATAGGCATGATCATCCGAGTTCTGAAAATCACATTCTAGAGAGGTAGTGTTAAAGGTCAGGGTGAAGGCGCCAGTTAGACTATGCTTTGACTATATTTGGAACAATGTGAATGTTTCGGTGTCCGTGGAACCTCCATGGCCCAAACATTAGCTCACAGGCGCTTCCTGATGGGTCAGATAAATTTTGTCTCATGCGCAATTAGGACAAATTAGGAAGTCGTCGATAATAGTTCAAAGGACAGGCCTCAACCTTAGAAAGTTTAGGTTCAACGAGCCCCTAACAGATGCTATATCTAGTCATTTTAAATTCCAACCCGCTGGTAAGTCATATTCAAATATCATCATTAAAAATCTTAATTGTATATGTAACTTTTAATCGATCCGGAAAAAACATAAGTGAGTGGCAGAACAATTATGCAAATGAGTATGGTGGCAACATGTTCCTCGCGGCAGAACAGTTCACAGAGAAGAAACAGACAAATAGGCAGTAACCAACAAAACGGACACCCCAGAAACCTGTAAGTACCGTCAAAATTGAAACCCCCCAAAATCCAACGAGAGGTACCGAGAAGACCATCATCAGTACACCTATACTCGGATGTAGTAATAACTCCAATACCTCAACCGGTAAAAAGGCACGTAAAGCCCAACAGGACAAAACCTATAACTGTTGGGAAACCATCGAGCCCGGTAACAATAGGATTAAAATACAGCTCCTCATTGTAACTATCGTTCTTCTATCGTATGAGGATAGTAGAACAATAGTATCATGCGGAGCTGTATCTTAAACAGATTGGCCCGGTAACTGTGAACGGCACAACATTCATTGGAAAATCTGTGAACAATCAATGTTTAGGACAATCCAAATTAAAATACGAATGCGAAGGCGGGGG